CTGACCCCTCCTCTTGTTCCGCCCCCCTGCCGCTGCCTTCTCTCGTTTGCCGCCACCGCAGCTCCCTTCTCTTTTTTTGTACCACCTCTCACTGCCCCCTACCCTGCTTTTTTGCCATCACTTCCGCCTTCACGTCTTTCCCCCGGGGTTCCCCATCCGCCTTCTCTTTGTTACTGCAGCCTCCTCGTTTATGGGTTCTGCCTCTTCCTCCGCCTTTTCTCTTGATGGCCCTGCTTCATCTTTACCCCTTACTAAGTCATCTGATTCTTTTGTGTACTTATTCTTGTGTACAGGGGCAACTGATAGTGGCACAGATTGGTTTTCTGGTTGAGCCGCAGTGCCTGTTGTGGGGGTTGGAGTAGCCGCAATACCTGTCATTTTGTCGTCAGACCCAGAGACCTTCTCTTCCCCTTGAGGGTACTGAATAGTGTTGAACAGGGCTCGGTAAGCATGGGCCAGGCCCCAGCACATTGCAGTGATTTGTGTCTCTCTGGAGTTGCCAGGGTGACAGCATACTTTTTCCAAATATTCTACTAATTTTTCAGGAAGGAGACGTAGGAATAGGAACATGGTGGTTTGAACATCCCAAGGATATTTAAAGTTTTCAAGAGCTGTTGTAACCAGCCTGAAGGAGAAAGCGAAGGTGAAGGGGTGGGGGAAAGTGTCCCTCCCGTCTTCCCCCTAGATTGGTTCCCCAAGGAGAAAAAGTAAAGTGTGTAATTGTTAATAATTTCTAAAAGGTGTCTCCTGGGGTGCGGAGATGACAGCAATGCCGAGTACAAGTACCAGATTAGACTCATGACCAATAATTTTATCATATCATAAACCAGGCTTACACAGTTCAGAAAAATGATATCCTTGATCCAGCTCCGAGAGGTGATAAACAGCACAACAGGGAATATATACTGCATGTAAGGCATTACATAACACAAATTTGAGAGTAAATTAATCAACATTGTGACCAGCGACTATTAAACCAGTATAATGAATGCTTATGACAAATTTGGCTTAACACACTCTGGTCATATCTGTCGCTATCTCAACCCTTCGTGCCCCACATTGGGTGCCAAAAGGACTGTTGTGTTTTAACCTGGAAGGCAGCTAAACACCACACAGCCCAGTCCCCTCTCACCCTGGTGGGACTGGGGAGAGAATTGGGGGAAAAAAGTAAAATTCATGGTTTGAGATAAAGACAGTTTAATAGGACAGAAAAGGAAATGAAATAATAATAATAATAATAACAAAATGATAAAAATATGCAAAATAAGTGGTGCACAATGCAACTGCTCACCACCCGCTGACCAATGCCCAGCCAGTTCCTGAGCAGTGGTTGCCACCCCCCAGCCAACGCAGTTTATATACTGAGCATGACGTCATATGGTATGGAATATCCCTTTGGCCAGTTTGGGTCAGCTGTAAAGTCCTTGACTAGTGTAAGCACTACTTAGCAACAACTAAAACAGCAGTGTGTTATCAATATTATTCTCATACTAAATCCAAAACACAGCACTGTACCAGCTACTAGGAAGAAAATTAACTCTATCCCAGGACACTCTTCCGTTGCGTCCTTCTAATCCTCCTTTGCCTCTTCCATTGCCTCCTCTGTTGCATCTTTCTTTTCCTTTTCTGCCTCCTCCATCACCTCCTCTGTCACCTCTTTCATCACTTCCTTCTTCTTCTCTTCTGCCTCCTCCTTCGCCTCCTCCATCGCCGTCTCCTTCTCCTCTTCTGCCTCCTTCATTTCTTCCTTCTCTTTTTCTGCCTCCTCCGTTGCCTCCTCTGTCACCTCCTTCTCCTCTTCCTCCGTCACCTCCTCCATTGCCTTCTCTGTCACCTCCTCCGTTGCCTCCTTCTTCTCCCCTTCTGCCTCATCTTCTGCCTCCCCCGTTGATTCCTCCAATACCTCCTTCGTTGCCCCCTCTGATGCCTCCTTCTTCTTCTCTTCTGCCTCTTTTCTCACCTCCTGCTTCACCTTCTTCCTCGCCTCCTCTGTTACCTTGTTCATTGCCTCCTCCATCGGCTCTTTCTTCTCCTCTTCTGCCTTCCCCTTCGCATCCTCCAACACCTCCTTCATTGCCTCCTCTGACGCCTCCATCTTCTCCTCTTCTGCCTCCTTTGTTGCCTCCTCCTTCACTTCCTTTGTCACCTCCTCCTTCACCTTCTTTGTCACCTCCTCCGTTAGCTCGTCTGTCGCCTCCTCAGTCTCCTCTTCTGCCTTGTACATTGCTTCCTCTGTCGCCTCGTCTGTCACCTCCCCCACCACCTGCATCTTCTCCTCTTCTGCCTCCTCTGTTGCCTCCTCTCTTGCCTCCTCTGTTGATTCCTCTGTCACCTCCTTCTTCTCCTTCTCTGCCTCCTCCATCACCTCCTCCTTTTATTCTGCCTTCTCTCTCACTTCCTTTGTTGCCTCCTCCATTTCTCCTTCTTCTCCTCTAATGCCTCCTACATTGTCTCTTCTGTCACCTCCACCGTTGCCTCCTCTGTCGCCTTCTTCTCCTCTTCTGCCTCCTCCATTTCCTCCTCCATCACCACCTTCATTGCCTCCTTGTTCTCTTCTGTCTCCTCCGTCACCTCCTCCATAGGCTCCTTCTTCCCATCTGTCGCCTCCTCTTTTGCCTCCTCTGTTTCCTCCTGCTTCACCTCCTCTATCACCTCCTTCTTATCCTCTTCTCTTTCCTCCATCACATGCTCTGTTGCCTCCTCTGTTGCCTTTTTCTTCTTTTATTCCTCTGTCACCTCCTCCTCTGTCGCCTCCTTAGTCGCCTCCTCCATCACCTCCTTCTTCTCATCTTCTGCCTCCTCCATCTCCTCCTCCATCGCTTCCTCCATCACCTCCTGGGTCACCTTCTCTGTCACCTTCCCTGTTGCCTCATTCGTCTCCTCTTCTGTCTCCTCCGCCGCTTCCTCCATCACTTCCTCTGTTGCCTCCTTCTGTTACTCTTCTGCATCCTTTGTCATCTCGTCCTTCACCTCCTCCATCGCATCCTCCTTCTTTTCTTCTGCCTCCTCTGTCCCCTCCTCCATCATGTCCTGCTTCTCCTCCTCTGCTTCCTCAGTTGACTCCTCTGTTGCCTCCTCCATTTAGTTATTCTTCTCCTCTTCTGCCCCTCCCTCGCCTCCTCCCTTGCCTCCTCCATCGCCTCCTTCTTCTCTTCTGCCTCTGCCATTGCCTACTTCTCTTTTTCTGCCTCCTCTGTCGCCTACACCATTGCCTCCTTATCCTCTTCTGCTTCCTCCATTGCCTCCTCCTTCTCCTCTTCTGCCTTTGCTATTGCCTCCTTCTTCTTCTCTTCTGACCTCTCAGTCGCCTCCTTCTTATCCTTTTCTGCCTCCTCTGTCACCTCTTTCTTCTCCTCTGCTTCCTCCTCTGCCGCCTCCTCCATTGCCTCTTCCATTTCCTCCTTCTTTTCCTCTTCTGCTTCCTTTGTCACCTCCTCATTAGCCTTCTTTATTGCCTCATCCATCGCCCTATCCATCGCCTTCTCCATTGCCTCCTTTGTCGCCTCCTTCTTCACCTCCTCCATCACATCCTTCTTTTCGTCTGCCTCCTCCAACCCTCCTTCGTCGCCTCCTCCATCAGTTCCTCCATCGCCTCCTTCTTGTTTTCTTTTGCTTCCTTTGTTGCCTCCTCCATCGCCTCCTTCTTCTCCTATGTCACATCTTCTGTGATGCCCTCTGTCACCTCCTTTGTCACTGCCTTCTTTTCCTATTCTGAATCCTCAGTTGACTCCTCTGTAGCCTCCTTCTTTTCCTCTTCTACCTCCTCTGTCGCCTCCTCTGTTTCTTCCTTCTTCTCCTCTTCTGCTTCTTCTTCTGCCTCCCCCTTCACACCCTCCAACACCTCCTCTGTCACCTCCTTCTTCTCTTATGCCTGCTCTGTCACCTCCTCCTTCTCCCCTTCTGCATCCTGTTGATGAGTGTCACCCAGGCAGGTGCTCTGTCCTCATCCCTGTTCCCATCCCCGTCCTCATCACTGTCCTTGGTCCCCACAGCTGCTCTATCCCCACAAGTGCTTTGTCCTCACCCCTGTCCCCTCCCCTGTCCTGTCCCCATCCCCAGTGTCCCTACTTGGTCCCTATCTGGCAGGTCACCTGCCCACCCTACCCTTGCTTTATCAAGTCTCTCCAGCCTGGGAAGAGCTGGTTGAAAGGCACCCCATCTGACCTAAGAGCATCAAGTCCCCAACTGCTGGAGGCCAGGAGAGTGTCGGAGAAAGGGTTTTGCATCTTCTGCTCTTTGCACCTTCTGCTCTTTGCATCTGTAATCGACAGTCAGAGACAGGCTCCTGGCTCACAATGTTCCAGTGCAGTGGTCTCCAAAGTGGAGTGCATGCATGCACTGGGGTGTGGGAAGAACGCACTAGAACTTCAGTAGTATATGTATATAATTATTAACTACTAAATATACATATACTGGGGGTGTGGGCTCAAAAAATGTTTGGAGACCACCACAAGACCCTTACAGATATTTGCTGTGGGGACTGAGGACCACGATACACAAGTGGGGTTACCTACAGCCTTACCCCAGCTCCTCCTGAACCTTCACTCCTGTTCTGGTTCACCAGTGTGCGCTGGGAGCAGTGCCCTAGCAGTGTCTGGTGGGCTAGCAGACAAGGGGCTAGGGAACTGTGCAACCATCACAAGGAAGTCTTCTGAGCCAGGCACCTCCTTTTATTTACTCCTGGCCCTCTTACTGAGAAAGGGAGGAGAGGGAGCAGGTCCCTAGGGAGGAGGTTCCTGCAGCAGTGGAGCAGAGTCCTGTTTTGCTCCTGCTAATGATGAAGTTATCACCTCACTGGTACTGTGACAGCTTTGATGGTGACAGCTATGGTGGTGGGTCAAACAGTGATCAGAGACCACAGGCACAGAGCAACCAGGCCATGAGGGCAATAGCTGTGACCAATGATCACCAGCCCTCCCCTTCAATTGCTCAGGGACACCTGAGACAGGTGGCCAGAAAGAGCTAAAGGGCTGCCCTTATGCAGCCCTACAAATTGCTGGCTCCTGCAGCTATTGTCTTTTGTCTCGCAGTTTCATCAGAATCCACTAACTTATGGACAAGCTATAGACCAAACCACCAAGCTGGAAGGTATAAAACAAAACATTAGCTTACCCAAAAAGCTTTTGGAGTCAGAAGCAGCTGGACTGCTGAGGCGTTCATGCTTCCTGGTGTGATACAGGGGACACCCACACCATGATGGAGGAAGACAGCTGACCACTCTCACCATTGGCTAGGTACTAATTCCTTTTTTCTCTTTTTTTTTTTTTTCGCTCACAGGTGCATGAATCAAGAGTTAGGGGTTATAAGTTATGAAACGTTATGACCTGACTGGTGAATAAGTGAATACATGATAGGCTAGTCTGGGCCAAAGGGGTTTGAGCCCCGGTTTGTCATATTCATTTCTTGTATAAGTGAACTAATTCAAGGGATGACAATTGAAGTAGGACCATGGGTCAGAGGGCCCACATGTCCATGGTGCCAGCAAGTGGAGAAAGTGAAGGTATGTGAGTGTATGATCACTGGTGAATACCAAGCTGGAGTAGTTGCTGAGTAGGTGAAGTGACCTGAGAGTCAAGTGTGTGTGTCTGTCTTTGAAGGCAAGGCCACTGATGGAGTTTACTACCAGAGTGACCAAGAGGTCCTGACTGACTGCTGGAGAGCTCTGTCTGTGTGTCTGTATGTGAATAAGGAGGTCTGTACTGGTAACTGGAGATGGGTTGCATGTCTCTGGGGTTCATATATGCCAGCAACTGGGGAGACTGGGATCCAGGGGCCAGCTGCTGAGTAGACTGTGTAGGCCCAGCTACATGAGGGATCCAGATTTTATACATGTAACAGACCTTCATCCTGATCTGCCAGAGAGGTGAACAGGAGGCTTTTGGTGTTTGTGTGACTACTGAGTATGTTTGTCTGGGCTGATCTGTGTGGTTGCTATAAGTATTTGTGTACATATACGTACATGTATATGTGTTGTACAAATGTATACACATTGTGTTTGTTCCAACTGGGAATATGTTCTCAGCCTCACTACTGTTTGGATCTGGGAGCATGGAACTTGCAGCATCCTCATCTTTTCTGGGGTACCAAATTTGCCCCACGGCACAGTAGAGCCCTACTAATTGAAAAAAGATAAAAAGAAAAAAAGGTTATTTGTTGAATAGGATTGATAATAGGCAGATCAGGGTAATGAGAATCAGTTTGCAAGCTTCATTTTTTCATAAATTATGAAGATCTAGCTTTGTTTATAATTGCATTACTGCACTGCTAAGACCTAGGGAAGGAAAATGAAAATGGAGCATTCAAAGACAATGATTTACGGGGAAAATAAAGGTAATCTAATTGACATTGAAACAGCTATAATATTTTGGAAATACGTAATGCATGTGTATGGTGTGAAGTCTTCAAATTCATTAGAGATTTTCCTCTTCTTTCTTTTCTTCACTCTCTTAGCTGCTACTTTATTCTTGACATGGATTTTCTCAGATAGTACTTTGTTCGAGTTAATTTGAGAAGCTTGACAAAACTCACAATTATACCCCTGACTGCAAAACTCTAATTCACTGGGTTATTTTTTTATTATTATTTATTTATGGGGTACATGAGAGCTACATGCTAGCACAGGCAGTAATTTTACAGTCAGGACTTGCTAAGGCGGTGGAACTGTCTTTTTGTGGAAATCTGAGTGCTGGTACAAGAAATGCCTTAGAATAGCAGCCTTGCTGTTTGGCACTGATCAGAATGTTTTGAGACGCTAGAGCTTGCCGTCTCCAGCACATAAGCATTAAGCAAGTAAAGGAGCTGCAGCAATATCCTTGGCCTCTCAGAACTTCTCTCTACTAACAATAAATTTGATTAAACAATATGCATGGATCAGAACCTGTCCCAGAAGAAATTACTATCTTTTCAGCTCTGTGTATGCACATCTCTTCAAGAAAGTGCTGCATAATATAAACTTTAGAGATCCTGACCCAAACTACTATAGTAAGATGCGAATATGCCAGATTTTGCCCTCCCCCATGAAAACATATGTTTAGATCTACAGTGGTGATCCCTCCTTCCCTCAGTTTAGCTAAAAGCAAAGATTTACAATTAAATGCACAAGTCATTTACGTTGTTCTTAAACAAGCAAAATTTTTCTGGTTAATTTATACATATACATACAAGCAAGCATAGAGGCACAATGAAAACAGATCTCTCGGAGGTACAGGGTACTCATATCTCCAAGCCATGCTAATGAAACTCTCATTGGCAAGTCCAATAGTTACAACTGTTGTTGTTAATGACTGTACAGAAATGTCTGTATCAGGTCATGAGCAAATTATTACATTGGAGAATTTGTATTTTTAATTATAATTATGAGAGAAGTGTAGCATTTTAACAGCATAAAGAAAGAACTTTTTTGCCCCAGTATGTTGTTCATTAGTACGTTTCACAGTTTCTAATTCTGCCTCTGTCAGTAACCTTGTACTACTCTAATGATCCTCGAGTAAATAACATCACCCTTCTCTGCGTGTATCCTCCTGCCTTTTTTGTGTGTGTGTCATAGCTGTACATACTGGAGGCTTTAAGACAGGGACTACTTTACAGTAGTTATTTTCACTTTGCCCAACATAAAAGAAATCCAATGGGATCTTTATAGCAAAAAGTAGTACTGAAGTGTTGTGCCCAGACTATGCTTTGAGCTCTTTGCCAATGAGGAGACTATTTCATAGAATCACAGAATAATTTTTGCCTGAAGGAATATCCGGGGGGGTCTCTGACCCAACCTCCAACTCAAAGCAAGATCAGTTTTTAACCTAGAAGAGGTTGCTTAGGGCCTTGCCCAGTTGATAGTCGGAAACCTCCAAGGATGGAGATTCTACAGTCTTTCTGGGCCACTGTTCTAGCTCTGTAGGACCCTCAAGGGCAATTTTTTTTCCTTATATTCCTGCAACTTGTAGCCATTCCCTCTTACTATGGCATGCACTGTCTCTATTTCTCTACATCCACCTTTTTAGGTAGTGAAAGAGTGCAATTACACTCCCCCCCACCTGCCCTTAGCTTTCTTCTCTCCAAGCCAAAGGAAAACAGCTTAGATTCTTCTTGTATGTCATATGCCACCTAATCATCTTGTACACTAATCAACTTGTTGGCCATACACTGGAAATTCTCCAGGATGTTAATACTACTTTTGCATGGAGGGGGAGGTATGAGCAAAACTGGACTTTAAGCCCTTTGCAATAGTCAGTTCTCTGTAAGAAACAGAAGGGGGTACTCAGTAACACAGGTCAAACAGAAAATGGGTAGAAATGCTTTTTACTAATGAAATAGGAAAAACATGTACAGGTGACCTAACAATGATAAAAAGCCTATGAGCAATGTTGCACTTAATTATAGGAGGAACAGTTAATTTTGTTTCACTATTTTTACATGGTGCAAAATAAATTTAACTATTTTTCTTAGCCTAGAAGGCAGAGATAAGAATCATTTCCATTTTTTCTCTGCCTGGTCCAGAGATTGAAATAATTGTAGAGTGCTAGTGCCCTGGAACACAGTGAGGCTTTTATGTACAAATGATAATTACAAGCATCTTAGCATACTTGCTTCTTTCTATAGCGTGCTCTTGCTGACAAGTAACATTGGTGTTTGAAATGCATGAGAGAATGGGCAGGTCCAAGTCACAATTCTTTTGTAGTTGTGCAATCATTTTCATTAGTCAAGATGATAGAATTGAGTAATTTACTAAATCTGCAATTACTGTTGCTGGCACACAAAACTAAATCATTCCATGAAACGCACATCAAGTGCCATGTCCAGGAGCTTTGCCTTGAGATGTTTTGTATTGATTTAAAAAGATATCCTCTTGGATGCACCAGTGGCTGGTTGGGAGGAGCACATGTGCATTTTCCCTGCAGCTGTTCCAAGGGAACCCGTATCTCTAAAGGACAATGCAGGTAAGCTACCAGGTCACTTATGACAACTGAAAGCTAGAGCTTTCAAAAAATTATGGCCTGGAAATATGATTCCTTACTGAAATCAAGGGCTAGATCAATTCTAGTGAAACACAATATAACTCTGGGTCATTAGTTTGGCACTTTAGTTCTTATGCTACTCACACAGCCTCTTCTTATGTCTGTGACTGATCCCTCCTCATTAGCCAGTTGTCTTGCTTTAGATCAGCAAATGAATGTGGTATTGAAATGTTCTGGATTTCAATACAATTTAAAGGTGAAACCTTCAGGCTTTGGTGGACCTGACACTTAACATTGATTTCTCAGTTCCTACAAAGGTATAACATGTCATTTTATGTTTGTAGAGCTAGAAGGGACTCTTCAGGTGCAGTTGAAATTTTATTATGGTGTGTAAATCAGCAGAAATGCTAGGAAGATTTCCAGCAGGACAAATCTCCTAAACTTCTGATTAATCCAGAAAAGTATTCTGGCTTTGTGAGGTCTTTCCACTATTTCTTTTTCCCAAAAAATAGTTTTATTAACTTTATAAGGACTATGAAATAAAACCTAGACACTTGCCGCCTTCAAGGCAGTGCTGATATTAGTAAACAGCTATAAATCAATAATGCCTGTCAGGCAGGCACAACTACTGAAGCAAGTATATACTTATAAACCTTTACCTGTATGCATGTCTATACATATATTTATGTGAGGTGTTACTATTATGACACTCAGGAAAATGCTTCCAGGAGTGGGGCTAGTCAACAACAAAAGTCTCACTTCAAAGATGATTCACATCACAGAGTCTGGAGTCAGCCAGGCTTCCCCAGCAAGGGTCCGGTCTGTCTGGGAGATCTCAGGCAGGGAAGCTCCTGCAGAGAGGTTAATTTTGCATAGGCAATGAGTTATTTTTTTATACCTTTTTGGTGTAGATACATAAGTGGGCATAGGACATCAGTGCCTAGAATAGTTGTTGCTGACTCCTATTTTCCTGGAAGGTCAGTTCTTTATCACAGTTTCTTTGTCCTGCATCCATCAGGGTCTCTTTGTTCTGCCAACTGCCCCTCATCAAAGAGGTTTTGGCTGAACTTATCAGAGGTGTCTCAAAGGAGATATTCTTCTTTGTCGGTATGTTTACCAGGTCACCTTTGTAGTGGCTCCTGTAATCGGGATGGTGAGGTGTTACTATTATGACACTCAGGAAAATGCTTCCAGGAGTGGGGCTAGTCA